TGTGAGCCTTTTTAAAAGATGTTAAGTTTGTGCCTGGCATAACATGTTTAGAAGTGTGAGGCTGGTTGTTTTTAGAGTACGTCTAAAATTGTATTAAAATATTTTGAAAAATATTTAAAGAGACATAGAAAATATATAAAAGCAGGGCAGGCTTTGTGGCACAGTGGGTTAAGCTGCCACGTGGGATGCCCACATCCCACATCTGCTTGTTTGTGTCCCAGTTGCTCCACTTCCCTCCCAGCTTCCTGGGAGACAGCAGATGATGGCTCGGGTGCTCAGGACCCTGACACCCCCAGGAGAGTCACAGACAGTCTCCTAACTTTGATCCGACCCAGCCCTGGCTGTTACAGGCATTTGAGGAATGAACCAGCGGGTGGAATGTCTTTGTCGCTCTGCCTTTCAAGTAGATATGTGTGTGTGTGTGTGTGTGTATCAGCACAGATTAAAAATTAAGTGAGACAATGTGGACCGTTCCTCGCCTGTGCATCCCAGTCCTGCTGCAAACTCTGTCTTTGCGGGGCAGCCTTCCACTGCCCTCTGGGTTGCTTCCATGTCCTTGCTCCCTCTTCTGTTCCTGCCTGAAGCCGGCTTACCCTGAGACCTGCTTTTCCGGAAGCCCTCACCAGCACGCCATGGGCTCACATCTCAGTCCCCAGAGAACGCTCAGCTCCTCCCACAGGCCACAGGCTCACATCTCAGTCCCCCTCCCAGACCATTGTTCTTTCAGGCCCCTGTCCCAGTGGTGCTGCCACGTGGTCTCACTACCCACCTCCTCATTGCTGTCTGCTCCCCCCCATCACTGTAAAACTGCCACATCATGGTTATCTTCATTGTCTCTGGATACATTTCCAGCCGTGCGTCTTCTGGGTTCCTCTGCCTCCTCAAGCCCAGTGCCGGTCACCTTTCTTCACCCCCCGAATCCACCCCGAGATTCTGATGCCATCCTGTTTCTCCACCTCCGAAATGAAAAACCGCATTGCTCTTATCGCAGCATCTTACCTACCTGTGTCTCCCGAGTGCTTGTTCAGCTCCATCAATGACTGGGTCAGCTCACCTTACTTTGATCTCTGTTCGACTCGAAGAGTCATCCCTTCAGCTACTCTCTTGCCAGCATCTGCAAACCTGTGATGTCATTGACTGTCCACCAGGCTCCTGGCAAAATCCCAGTCCTGATGATCCTAACTGTGTACTGCATGAGCCCATGCCCAGCTCCTCAGCACTGCTGGAGATGCAGCTTAGCTCGGCACCTCTGCTTTTCACCTCCTCCCACCTTGCCTGAGCTGTCATGGCTGTCAGGATGGGAGAAGAATGTGCCTGGGGAGCAACTGCAGAACCAGCGTTTAAGCATCCTGACTGGAAGAGGTCCCTGGGACAAATTTCATTCAATGGCAGTTCAGGGCTGGAATCCGATAGCATGGCAGGCTATCTTCCCCCATCTCCATGTGTTTGTGGGGCAAAATGAAGAAGCCAAGGTCAGTATAAAGGCAGTGTGAACCAATAGGCAGTGTGAAGGATGGCTGGGTCCTTCAGCCCCTTGTCTGATGGTTATGAATGTCTTGAGACCCAAAGTTGTGAGAGGAGAAGTTGGAGTGGAGAACTTTTGAAGCAAACATTGTGTTTTCATGCATGGTTTTGTTTTAATGATTGAGAGTGTCAGGTTATAGAAATGAGGAAGAAAATCTAAAGTTATATCTATAAACTTGTGAAGAGCCTCAGCTTGGTTCGGTTTTGTGATCTGGGTGGGGGTCGCCCTCTGGCCGTCCCCACCTGCCTGCTCCAGCAGACAGACCTGCTATAGGAGGAAGCACTGAAGATCGGCCGCATCCCCCTGCTGCCCGGCCTTCCCTCTCCTGCTGTGCTTTCAGTGCTAAGGTGGAACCTGCAGCCCAGACCTACAGAGCACCCGCATGTAAGTTCTCATTCCTCACTACTGTACCAGTGAGATCAGAATGTCTACGGTGTTAGAAATTTATTTATTTGAGAGACGGAGAGAGGAAAAGAGAATAAGAGTGAGAGCAAGTGAGAGAGAGAGAGAGATGGACAGAGAGCAGCTGCCCTTAGGCTCACTACTCAAGTGTCGGCAGTAGCTGCTGGAAGATGCCAAAGCCAGGACCTGGAAACTCAATCCGTGTCTCCCATATGGATGGCAAGGTTCAAATGGCCATCGCCACTGCCTTCCAAGGTCTAGAATACCAGAAAATTGGAGTTAGAAGCCAGAGCTGGGTATCAAATTCAGATACTCTGATACGGGACTCAGGTGTCTTAACTGTTCAAATAAATGCCCACTCAGTGTTAGAATTTTTTTTTAAAGATTTATTTATTATATGAAAAGCAGAGTGACAGAGCAAAGGAAAAAGAGAAAGAGAGATCTTTCATTTGCTGGTTGACTCCCCAGATTGCTGCAACAGCTGGGGCTAGGAGGAAATCCGGAAGCAAGAACTCCATCTGGGTCTCCCGCAGGAGCAGCAAGGACTCAGATACTTGAGCCATCATCTGCTGCTTCCCAGGAGCATTAGCAGGAGCTGGGCAAGAAGTAGAGTAGCGGGACTCGAACCAGCACTGCTGTATGGGATGCAGGCATCCTAAGTGGTGGCTTAACCCACTGCACCACAACGTTGGCCCCAATTAGACATTTCTGTGGATCTTGGAGCTAAGGTAGCCCACGCACTGCTTCCCCATTTCTACCTAAGCTAAAATTTAGAATAGAAGTTGCTATGGCAGTAGAAACTATTCAACTATCTTGATACATGGAGAAATACAGATATTTGATAAATTTGGAAGGGATAAGTGTTTTTTATAATTGAACATACTTGTTTTTATATTACATGTTGTATTATCTGGTATTAAAGAATTTTTAAAAATCTGAAAAAACTCAGTATGTTCCAGAGAAACTTAACTCAGTGACATGTATGGCTGATATATCCTGTATTAGAAAACAATGCCTGAAGCTACTCAGTATGACAATAGAAGAGTGACACAGAGAGTACGCTTGTGGAAAGATGAAACTCAACCCTGTGGTGCTGTTCCCACGAGCTCCAGGAAGACTCCTCATATCCGTGTCAGTAGCTTCCACAAAGCTGGCGCATCCGCAGTGGGTGGGTTAGGTAACAGATAACCTGCTCCTGTGGCAGACGGCCCAGCAGCCTCAGTGGCTCATCACAATGAAGAGATATGCATTGCTCGGTCTCTCAGTTTGTTCTAGTACCAAGTTCTTTGCAGCCAGCGGCTCTGCTATTGTTGTGGACAAGGGGCAGCAGACTTTTTCTATGGCGTTCCAAAGAGTAAATAGTTTAGACTCTGTGGGCCGCTTGGCCTCTGTCACAACTACTTACATCTGCCAGTGTGCCCCAGACAGTGTAGAAGCCAATGTGCAGAGTTACATCCCGATAAAACCTTAATTACAGACACTGAAATTTGAGGTTAAAGAAGTTATGTGTGTCACCAAACAATATTCTTTTATTTGTTTTTTTCACCTATTTAAAAATTTAAAACCACTTCTTGCTCAAAGACTGTCTAGAAATAGGCCAGGGCTAGGTTTGCCCTGCAGGCCCCAGTGTGCCAACGACGCACTGCACGTCCACGACCTTCTCTGCATCCCCTATGTGCAGGTGGCAGTGGAGAGTCTGGTGGGGCGTCCGAGTGGCCAGGCCTAGATCCACAGCACCATCGCCGTGTCTGCTTTTCATGACCAGAACACACAGGCCTTGCTGTGTGCAGGGGAACTGGAGAACAGTCTCCTAAGTGACCAGGAAGAAAACGAAATGGAATGGGTCTCAATAGAATCTTCTTTCCACCAAATTTGTCTGTTTTCCCTTTTTCCTGCCTTCCTTCAAATGCACCTCCCTTTCTTTTTCCCTTTGCCAACCTGAATGGTTCAACATTCTTTTTTTTTAAAGGTTTATTTTTATTTATTTGAAAGACAGAGTTACAGAGAGAGGTAGAGAGAGAGAGAGAGAGAGAGAGAGGGAGAGAGAGAGATCCTCCATCTGCTGATTCACTGCCCAATGGCTGTAACAGCCAGAGCTGCACCAATCTGAAGTCAGGAGCCAGGAGCTTCTTCCAGGTCTCCCACGTGGGTGCAGGGGCCCAAGGACTTGGACCAGCCTCTACTGCTTCCCCAGGTTTAAATAAATATATCTTTAAAAAATAAAAATTTTGGTAAAATATATTCAAGATTTATTATCACAGCCACTTGCAGTATATGACTTAACTGCTAGGGCAAAACCCTGCCCCAGCAATTCTACTTGGAACTTTTTTTTTCTTTTTCCTTTTTTTTTTTTTTTTTTTTTACAGGCAGAGTGGACAGTGAGAGAGAGAGACAGAGAGAAAGGTCTTCCTTTACCATTGGTTCACCCCACAATGGCCGCTGCGGTGCTGATCGGAAGCCAGGAGCCAGGTGCTTCTCCTGGTCTCCCATGCGAATGCAGGGCCCAAGGACGTGGGCCATCCTCCACTGCCCTCCCAGGCCACAGCAGAAAGCTGGCCTGGAAGAGGGGCAATGGGACAGAATCCGGCGCCTCGACCAGGACTAGAACCTGGGGTACCTGCGCTGCAGGCAGAGGATTAGCCTATTGAGCCAAAACAGACGTATTATGGTCTACAGTGGTTGCACCTTTTTGGACTGAATCTCATGCTTTAGAACGATGGACTTCATGACATGTGAGTTCTATCCTAATCAATCTATTACATAAGAGAAAAAATACAACTGGTTTCCACCCTCAGGTAGCTTATTGTTCAGCAATGAGAAGAAGAGACCAGAAATATCCATCCTATATGATCCAGTAACATGAGAGGCTCAGATTTCTTTGTCCTGAAGCTTTTCCTGATCCACCCATTTGCAATGAGTTTTAAAGAAAAAGCATATTGAAATATGTATATTGGGAAAGTTGAGGGGCCATTGCTGTGGCTCAGCGGGTTAAAGTCCTGACCTGAAGTGCCCGCATTCCATATGGGCGCCAGTTCGAGTCCCGGCTGCTCCACCTCCAACCCAGCTCTCTGTTATGGTTGTAGGCAGCTGTCACAGGTTTGTTGGGAATCAAATGTTGAGACCTTATTACGATCAGACGTACTTCCTGTTGGAAGATGGCAGCAAGCCAGAGGAGATAGATCAGGTGCTTGAAGAGTTTGGTCTTGAGCATAGCTTGTATGCACTCATCAATGAAGCCTTCCGTATCTTGGGAGAAGGGATGGCTGCCAGCCCAGAGCACATCGATGTTATCTATCTATATGGGTACGGCTGGCCTAGGCACAGAGGCGGGCCCATGTTCTATGCTTCCACAGTCGGCTTGCCCAAGGTTCTGGAGAAGCTGGAGAAATATTACAGACAGAACCCTGATATCCCTCAGCTGGAGCCCAGCGCCTATCTCAGAAAACTGGCTTCCCAGGGAAACCCTCCTCTGAGAGAGTGGCAGCGCTTGGCAGGGCCCCCGAGCAGTAAACTGTGATCCAGCCTCCCCGGTTACCTCGTGGCTGGCATCAGCTGATTCCCACTGGGTTCCAATGAAATTAAATCCAGAATTGTAGGTAAGATTGCTCAGAGATACAGGGCAAAGGAGTAATTTGTCAGCTAATTTTAAGGAATGTGCTTCCTATTCCTTTGTATCTGTCCTCTACCAGTAAATTCAAGGGTTAAACTTGTGTTAACCAAACACCATAGTAAGATACGATAAGAGAGCCGTGGGAATCAGTTGAGGTTCCCAAGTGCTCTGATCATTGGAGAAATATGTCACCAATTAATAAATGATAAGTGCAGCAAAGTCATCAATCATTTGACCCTTTCAGCCTCGCACACATAGTATTGATGGGGAATGCTACAGATCAAAGATTTGGTGAACACTGAGTGAGCACCTCCCTGGTGTCTTCCCCCTCTGGGAGCACTTGGCAGAGTAGAGTCTGCGGGGCCACGAAAGCGGCAGGGAAGCCCGTGCTGAAGTGCAGTGCGTGTTCTGTGCGGTGGAGCACAGAGGTGGCAGGGCAGAGGCGGCGGGGAGGAGGAGGGGTCTTTATCAGAGGGCATGGAAAGCCACCAGAGAGACAGAGCTAGTGAGCATTTGCTGGTAGCACGCTAGTTAAGCACAGCTGGGAACTGGTGAGGGAACCGAGTATTCCAGAGCAGAATGGGGAACTCCACGGTGGTTCGGCAGGTCGGGCTCAACCTATCACATCTGTCGCAGGCCCAGACGCAGGTGCACTGTTGCGCTTGTTGCTTGCAAGCGGCTCAGTCACATTTATTGATCCTTTCCCCAGGATGGTGGACATCCACAGCTGGTCTTTATTATCTTTTTTTTTTTTTCTATTCAGGGAAAAACACTAGAAGGCATTAAGTTGTTAGTTTGTGAGGGGGTCTCAGAGAACATCTCACCTTCTGGGATTTCTTAATTCTTGACAGAGTAACAGTCCAGTTTCCCTGCCAGGGCAAGCCTTCGTGATGTTGTATATGGAAATGGTTGAATCTTAAAATATCTCAAATTATTGCAAAACCTATTTTGCATAATAATGCTATAAGAATCCTTTCCTTGGGGCCAGCGCCGTGGTATAGAGGGTGAAGCCGCCACCTGCAGTGCTAACATCCCATATGGCCACCAGTTTGAGATCCAGCTGCTCCACTTCCGATCCAGCTCTCTGCTATGGCCTGGGAAAGCAGTAGAAGATGGCCCAAGTCCTTGGGCCCCTGCACCCATGCAGGAGACCCAGAAGAAGCTCCTGGCTTCAGATTGGCACAGCTCCAGCTGTTGCAGCCATGTGGGGAGTGAACCAGCGGATGGAAGACTCTCTCTCTCTCTCTCTCTTTGCCTCTCCTTCTCTCTCTGTATGGAACTGTAACTTTCAAATGAAATAAATAAATCTTTTTTTTAAAGAATCCTTTCCTTTTTGTGTTTTACCTTCTGGGCCTAAAATAAAGGGGCTGGCGCTGTGGTGTGGTTGGCTAAACGTCCTCCTGCGGCACCGGTATCCCCTGTTGGCACCAGTTCATGTCCCAGATGCTTCTCTTCTGATCCATCTCTGTGTTTCTGGCCTGGGAAAGCAGTAGAGGATGGCCCAAGTGCTTGGGCCTCTGTCCTCTCGTGGGAGACCCAGCAGAAGCTCCTAGCTCCTGGCTTTGGATTGGCCAAGTTCTGGCTGTTGCGGCTGTTTGGAGAGTGAACCTCTCCCATCTCTGTCTGTAACTCTACCTCTCAAATAAATAAATAAATAAAAGAGGCTGGTTAGCACAGAAATGTGTACACAAATTTATGACAGAGTCATTCATAATAGCCAAAACTTGGAAATAATCACAATATCTATTGGTGGATGAATGGACAAAGCATGGCATATGCATCCTGTGGCCTGTTACTTCAGCCATAACATGCTGACAACATGAGGAGTCTTGAAAACATGCTAAGTGAGAGGAGCTCATCACGAAGGCTCCATATTGTGCTGACATCCACATGGAAGATGCAGAATTAGGCAAATCTATAGAAGCAGAAGATTCATTAGCCATTTGTTAAGGCAGCAATTGCAGGGACATAGGGATTGTTGAGTGACTTTCTCTTTGAGTTCATGAAAATACTCTAAATATATTGCGCTAGAAGACAACATAGAATATGTTTTAAAACCATTGAATTGTATATTTTTATTGAGTAAACTGGTATGTGAATTATGTTTCAGTAAAATAGTTAATAAGCAGAAAAACAACATGAGAACTCTTCTTCTTTCAACTGTGAATGGATTTTTCGCCCAAAAGTAATTTTCCCTCCATATCAGCCTCTTGGCTGAGGTTTTGTACAGAAGGTTCCATGAGTAGATGTAAGTCCATAACCCCTGAAATTTTTTGAGAAAATGTGTGTAAGTGTATCTAAATGCATTTCTTGGATAGCTAACATAATATTCTCAAAAGTACCTATGACACAACAGATTAAAGACCACTCTTGTGGGGAGCAACTCGGACTAGACTAAGTTACTGGAATTAAGACTTATTCTATGCATCTGCTCTCCCACAATATGGCGCTGGGAGAGGAGTAAACAGCTTCTACGCAGCTGCCTCCAGTTCAACCAATAAACTGCAGGACCTGCTCCTGATTGGAGGAGAGCAGCGTACTCGGCGTGTGGGCAGCCGAGTTGGGACTGGTGGAAGAGGACTATAAAGGAGGAGAGAGACAACATGCACCAGGAACATCTAAAGGGAACACCTGTGCAGCCCCCTAGAGAGCCGGCCGGCGGTGTGCCGCTCCCCTGCGGAAGTGGGGAAAGTGGCAGGGGGAACCGCCCTTCCACGGAGGTGGAGGGACGGCAGCCAACCCGGGAAGAACCAGCAGCAAACCCGGGAAGGGCCGAGCAGACAAAAGAACAGCGCAGGGTCCTGTGTCGTTCCTCCACGAAGAGGGGGAGCGACAACTCTAGAAGAAGTATTAGCTCACTTATTCATATTTTGTATCAAAGGAAGCTAAACAAATTTGAATTTATTGTCTTCTACCTGTAATAGGAGTTAATATTATGATACCTTAATGATATTGTGTCCTGTCATTGGAAGTGCACTGACTTAAAAGGCTGATTTTGTTGCTTTATTATAAAAGCTCTCTGTCTTAAAATATAAAAAAAAAATTCTGAGTGACATTTTTAAAAACAGTTCTAAAGGGGGCTGGCATCATGTGGTAGCAGGTAAAGCTGCTGCCTGCGATGCTAGCATCCGGTATGGACACCGATTCGTGTCCCAGCTGCTCCACTTCCAATCCAGCTCCCTGCTAATGGCCTGGTAAAAGCAACAGAAGATGGCCAAAGTGCTTGGGCCATGTAGGGATGCATGGCAGAAGCTCTTGGCTCCTGGCTTCGCCTGGCTCAGCTGTGGCCATTGAGGCCATCTGGAGAGTGAACCAAAGGATGGAAGAGTCTGTCTGTCTATCACCCCCTCTGTAGCTCTTTTATTTATTTATTTATTAAAATGATTTTTTAAAAAGATTTATTTTATTTCTTTGAAAGTCAGAGTTAGAGAGAGAAGGAGAGGCAGAGAGAGAGAGAGAGAGAGAGAGAGAGAGAGAGTTCTTACATCCTCTGGTTCACTCCCTAGTTGGCTGCAAAGGCCAGAGCTGCGCTGATCTGAAGCCAGGAGCAGGAGCTTCTTCCAGGTCTCCCACATGGTGCAGGGGCCCAAGGAGATGGGCCGTCTTCTACTGCTTTCCCAGGCCATAGCAGAGAGCTGGATAGGAAGTGGAGCAGCTAGGATCAAACTGGTCGCTGTATGGGAGGCTGGCACTGCAGGCAACGGCTTTACCCGCTATGCCACAGTGCCGGCCCCCTAAAAAAGTGTTCTAATAATAATTGACTTTGATGAGAACTGTGTATAGGAGACACCCTTGAAACTTGGCTGCACCATTCCAGCTTTGAAGCTGAGACAGATGATACTCCTAAAATCAGTAAAGATGCTGTGCAGGTCCACTTTGCTGCCAGCAGGTACGTGTGTGTATGGGAGAGATACAGGGAATCCTCATAGACTCCCCTGATTGATGGTGGGAGAGATTGTGTAAATTACATGCTACCACACTGTAGCCACCTAGAATTTCTAGGAGCTAACGTTTGTCTTTGCAGTAGACACCCAGGGGCCGGTGCTGTGACACAGCGAGTTAAAGCCTGGGCCTGCAGCGCCTACATCGCATGTGGGTGCCAGTTCATGTGCCGGCTGCTGCACTTCCCAGCTCCCTGCTGATGCGCCTGGGAGAGCAGTGGAGGATGGCCCAAGTGCTTGAGCCCCTGCACCCATGTGGGAGACCTGGAGGAAGCTCCTGGCTCCTGGCTTTGGATCTGCTCAGCTCCAGCTGTTTCAGCCATTTGGGGAATGAATCAGTGGACGGAAGACGGCCCCCTCTCCTCTCCTCTCCTCTCCTCTCCTCTCCTCTCCTCTCCTCTCCTCTCCTCTCCTCTCCTCTCCATAACTCTAGCTTCCAAATAAATAAAATAAATCTTAAAGTAGACACCTAGAAGTCAGACCTATTCAAACTCCGTAGGTTGTCTGAACCCCTCTCATAGCCACTGAGAGATTAATCCTTGTCAAATTCCTGGACTGTGTTTACAGCTTTCTTCAAGAACAGTGTAGTCCTTGACTGTCTTGGGACTGTCAGTGCCAGCTGCTTATCTTACCAGCTTGTACGGATTTTGAGATGAACAGACCAGGTACAGTGCTTCCAGACAGAACACCACATTGCACCAGCCTGGGGGACACCACGCGCACTGTGCTTCAGGGATTTGTCCTTTACATAGAGATCATATGAATGGTGCCCCCTAGTGCTGGGCATTGCCCAGTATTGTTTCTAGGGCATTCTGTGGAGGTTTCAAGGCAAAAGCTCTTTCTTCTGAAAAAGAAGTATCTTGGTCGATGAAAATTGTGGGAAAAATCTCCACTTAGACTGTTCTCCAACAGGACCAACTGTTTAGGAAGTGATTACATCTTATTTTGTTCTTAGTAGTTTTTCCTGCTGCCCTGGGAAAGAGGAAGAGGAGATGAACAGGCTTTTAATTCTTGTCCAAAGAATTCTACACATTTCCATTGTACCATTTATTTGTTGTTTTTCCCCCAATTTAAAACAGCCTGGTAGAATGGGTGTCTGAAGGCATCTTAGGATATGACGTGAGCAGAGCTGACACAAACTATCTTGTGCACACGGTCACTGTCCGTACGGTTAT